AAAGTTACAAGCACCTGACATTTCTCAAAAGCAGACATTCAAACTACAAAAAGGCATAAGAAAACATACTCAACATTTACAACCATCAAGGAGATATAAGTGGAAATCACACTGAACTATCACCCTCCATCTGCTAAGCTGGTTAACGTATAAGACAGAAGGTAAGTACTGTTGGTGGGGACAGAGAACAAGGAGCACTCGGACACTTCGTGGTATTGTACATCCATTGAGTACAACCATTCTGAAAACAGTATGGAGTTTCCTCAAAACAAAACAAAATGGGATTCAGCACTCCCTTTACAAGGTGCACATCTGTCACGAAGCCATGGTGTGCTCTGCGCTCGCTCGTCTCTGCTTTCTGTATTTCTCCTGCCTGGGACTTACAGTGCCTGCTTCTCTTTGGACCCAAACGATTGCGTATTTCCTTCTTCAGGTTTGCACCCAAGCTGGGGACTGAATATTCCTAGTTTTTTCAGATTGTGCTTGAAACACTGAGAGAACAACCTCTGCTAAACATGTAGAAACCAGCCTTAGCCCTGAGCCAGGTTCCTTAAACTCTCACATATACTCCAGAACCCAGCCCTCTCAGTATAGGGGTTCCTGGATAGAACCCCTTTCTTTGTGTTTCCCACAAGAGTCACTGTACACTTGGTATTTAAATTCTTCTAACTTAAAGCCTTGGACTGAACAGTGTTTGGGGTTGTTCAGCCTTGGCCTGTTAAGTGTTTCTTTGTAAACCCAGCTATCCCTATCTTGGGTTGATTTGGAGGAGTTGCTTGCAGCAGCACCCCATCATTGTTTTGGGGGCAACTCCAGCCCAGGGTCTTGCTGAACACAATATCCTATGTATGTAACAAGATCCCAGTTACAGGCCTGGAAAGCGGGAACTAACCTGGGTGAGAAGGGCTCAAGGTGGCTGCAGTGGTCTGTGGGTACTGCTGCCTGATGGCTTGGTCTTCACAGGATATCCCTGGAGTACAAAAATGCCCCAGCAACAACAGCAGCTTTGACCACCTTGTGGAGTGTTTGAAATTGGCAAGGTTGCCAGGTGCTTCACAGGCAATGAGGGAGAGGTAGGTGACGGGGAAGGATAGGCTGGCCTTTGTTTTAGGCAGGCATCCCGCTAACAGAGGTCCAGCTGGCAGCAGAGAGAAAGGTGGAATAGTTGGAGGAAGAATTGCAACTGAGGTAGGCTAGAAAAATTAAAGTGGTAGAAAGGAGACCAGGAGGCTCAATTTCTTGTCTCCTTTATTAATTTTTTTTTTTTTTTTTTTTTTTTTTTTTTTGGTACCGGGGATTGAACTCGGGTCCTTGTGCTTGCAAGGCAGGCCACCGAACCGCTGAGCTAAATCCCTGGCCCACCTATATTAATTTTAAATTGCAGATCAGATCCCTACTGTGTTCTGTATGTAAGAATCCTGACTATTAAGGAAAAGCTGATAAAACAAGGTTTGTTAGCCCTAAACATACCTAGCCTATCTCATCCTCTTCAAGACTAGGACAGCAAGATAAAGAGTCAGTAATAATTTACAGCATTTTCAGGGACATCCAACGGACAGCTTCAGACCAGAAGTCTCTCTCACCATCATATTAAAACTCTAATCACCTGGGTTCTATGAAAATCAGAGCCTCTGAGATTTCCGCATGATGAGATCGTCCTCCTGACAAGGACAACTGGCTCATGGGAACCAAAGTGCCCCTCAGGGAATCAGAATGCCTCCAGAGCTAAGAAAACAGGACCAGCACTGATATAATGATCAACTAGACCTCCACCATCCTCAACTATCTATAAAAACTGACCCTGTGCTTTTTGGAGAGGGAGTCTGAACCCCTGAATCATAGTATGTCCCTCCAGTTACTCAAGGAGTTCTTTTTTCTATTCTTCTTTATTTTCTACTCAGCGTAACACACCTGCATATCACACTCATACCTCGAGGTTCTTCTCCCATTGTGGTCAGGTTCTCAGTGGACTGACCTGAGGTCTCCATCCTGTCTTTGAGCAACTTTCTAAGATCCCATCTGCCGGCATCACTAGAAAGTTCTATGAGCTCCACTGCACTCTCTTGGTTACAGCGGTGCTGATGAAATGGAGCAAGAAGAGGCTTGGCTGCACGCTGCAAGCTGCTATGTGAAGTGTGACTGGTCGTCCAGGGCCTTGATCTGGATGCTAAGAATTGGAGCTGGTGGGTATGGAGGTGTAGCTCAGTGGTACAGTGCTTGCCTAACATGCATGGGCTGGGATCCAATCACCAGCATAGTAAAATGGCTTTTATAAAAAAAAATGAAATTAACTCTGAGGACTTAGTATAATATAAAAAGATAGACAGAGGAGGGAAGAAGGGAACATGTGACAATTTACCTTCTTAAGCAAACTAAACTAAAAGGAATCCACTGGCTGGGATCTGAAGACCCCACCGCCTGCCAGCAAACTTTGGCTTTGTGTAAATATACTCTGAGTTGACTGATCTGGCTAGCAGTTTTGGCAGCATCCAAAAGAACTTTTAGCCACTTCTCTAGTAAGCCTAGGGGTCAGGATGGTTCTGTCTGGATGTGAGGCAGAAAAGATTAGCAGTATCACAGCAAATGCTTTATCAGACAATCCTATGTGTTTCCCATGCTCCTGCAGGGAATCATTCTTTAATTCACTGTATTGTCTTATGCCTGCATGGAAGCCTGATCACCAGAGTGGGCTATGTCAGGGGATCCTGGACATTTGTTTGTTTTTTTTTTTGTTTTTTTTTTTGGTACCAGGGATCAAACTTGGGTCCTTATGCTTGCAAGGCAGGCAGTGGAACCACTGAGCTAAATCCCCAGCCCATCCTGGACATTTGAAGACAACTGAAGAGATGCATGTTGTGTTACATTAATTAGCAGTGAGATGGCCACCTACACTCCTGCCCCCTGGAGCCTCGAGACTGCTACTTTTGTGCCAGCACAGACAAAATCCTCCTGAATCCTATTCCACCAAACTAGAAAGGAACACTGCTTGCCGTCTTAGGTCTCTTTGCACACTTGCATACAATGTGGGTAAGGCTGTGGCTCAAACAGGAGAAATAGAAACTTTGACCTATGTAGCTAAGGTGTGAAGTGCTGTCCAAGTGGGATTCTGTAAAAAGACAAGGAGAAACAAAAGCTGGAAATACAGGAAAAAGAATACTGAAGACTTAAATGTTGGATTACGTTCTGAAAGGGGTATGGAGGGAGGATACATAGAAAACCAAACGTGTTTTCTGTAATCTGTAGAAAGTGCTAAGGCCAGAGAAGCAGTACATCATGAGAGTTACCCTGTGTTCTCAACCCTGCCTCTCCCAGAGGGGTCTGACATGGAGAGGAGTGGTGAGCACCACGTCCTAGTGCGACGGGAAGACCAAGGTTCACGCCTCCAGCGACTACCCAGGCCTCTTTTTCAACCTGCAGATATTTTCAAAATTACTTGTGTTTCATCCCTTCCAGTTTAACTAAAGAGGCACCCAGGGTTTTGTGGGCCATTTCATCTAAGTAGTGCTTTCCGATATCTTTCTCTTCCCAATGTATGGAGCATTGACTTTTATTAGATTTGTTATTTCTTTGCTTTGTTTTGTTGTGCTTTGCTTGTTTTTTCATTTGTTTGTTTCTTTCCTTCCTTCCCTCCTTCTTTCCTGTTTCTTTTTCTTGCACTGGGGGTTGAATGCAGGCATTCAGGAATACTAGGAAAGTGCTGTACCACTGAGCTACATGCCCAGTCCAAACCCTTTACATTTTTTAAAAAATGTTGAGACAGTCGCCATAAATTGTGCAGGCTGAACTTGAACTTGGTATCTTCCTGTCTCCACTTCCTGAGTGCTACGATTCCAGAGAGCTTTTGGGGTTCTTTTCCTCTTTTTTGCAGTTTTGATGAGTGAACTGGGGTCTTGTTCATGCCGGACAAGGGCTCTATGCCTGAACTATAATGGCCACCGTTTTTAGGCACATCTCTCACTTTGTGACTGTGAGTGGCAACACTGACTTTGCCATCAACATTTTATATGTTTTGGGGCCAGGGATTTAGCTCAGTGGTGCCACTGCCTGCCTTGCCAGCAAAAGGACCCGAGTTTGATCCCCAGTACCCAAAACAAAACAAAACAAAAATACCACTTCATATATTTTGTCTGTGTTCGGGGGTTGTAGGAATTGAAACCAGGGCCTCCCACATTCTAGACTCTCTCAATGAGTCCCTTCTTCATTCTCTGTATTTTGCATCTTCTCCCAGGAAAACTCAGGTTTCATTTTTGTTTTCCCCTGGAGGATTCTTGCTTTATTCAGTGGGGACCAAGTTTGGTGTCATTGTCAGCTTTTACACTCTGCGTGGGAATAATTTTGACAATTTAAGTAGCCCGGTATATCTATTCCAATACAGGGACAGATGCTGCTAGACAGAGCCAATTAGAGTCACTACATCGGGCCTGGGATTTGGCTCAGTGGTTCTGCTGCCTGCCTCTCAAGATTAAGGGCCTGAGTTCGATCCCCAGTACCAAAACAAAACAAACAAAAAGCAAGTCAGTGTGTGGCTACAGATAGTGCTGCTGCAGGATGAGAAGATAACACAAGGAGAAAAGAAGGTATGATGAATATATTTAATCTGACACCAGCCATGCCAACTGCTCTCGGAGGACAGTGATCCATAAGGCTCAGAAGTGAGCTGGACGGTCCTGTGTCACTTCACTTCTCAGCAGGGTCCCAAGGCAGGGCTGCAGTCACAGCCAGTCTCAGTTTGTTCATATGTACCATGTGACAAAGAAAGGTGTCACCGGGATTCTTTGAAAGACGCAAAGAATAAATGCATGGAGGATGTGACTACTATCAACTCTCACGTCAACTGATCCCTGTAGAAGGTTGTTTCCAAGAGCTGTGTCATGGCACAGCCAAGGTGTGCTAAGGCTCTGAATGGAAACCCGTCAGGTGTCTCCTGAATAAAACTATGGAGACGCACGCTGAACTCCTGTATTTGGCTTAAATGAAGGAGGAACAAGAATGATCCTTACCTGGACGACTGCCTTGCGTGACTGCCGTTTGCATGGAGATTCAACACTACTCCCAATTCTCTTCCTCAAATCATCTGTGAAAGAAAAAAATGAATATCAAGGGACAGTTTAACGCATGGTAGGGCTCCTTTATTCAGGACCCTCATGCAGAGGTACAAGGACCAAGCAACAGGGTTTTATAGTGCAGGCTGGGGATTGTGTTCAACCTAGAGCACACGCTTTATAAGTAGGAATTTGTAGTTAAGGGTCATGGTAGGGGTTGGCGGATAGAAAATTCCTAAGAGGTACTGTCAGTGATGAAGGAGACTCTAGCTAAGCACAGCCATAGGACTCTTGCTGAGAACAGGACTGAGTGACACATACCATCGTCACATATCAAGGAGGGACGTGTGTGTTTCGCTAAACTGATTTACTAGGATTCTTTGTGAATTTTTTTTCAAAGAAGTACACAGATGGGCTGAGGAGAGCAGTTCAGACCCTAACATTTGTTTCGTTTGTTTGTTGGTTGGTTGGTATCGGGAATCAAACTCGAGTCCTTGGGCTTGAAAGGCTGGTGGCAGAATCACTGAGCCAAACCCCCAGCCCTCAGACCCTAACATTTAACTAAACAGAATTGTTGTCCCATTCTGTAGCACTGGATGAGAAGGAGAGTGTGTGCATACTAAGAATGCAGAAACAGAAGCGAGTTCCACGCTGAGGAACAGAAAATATGCTTGACCTCTGAAGAAGATAGTTTTTTGTCTGGTTTGGTTTGGTTTGGTACCAGGGATCGAACCCAGGTCCTCGCGCTTGTGAGGCAGGTGGCAGGACACTGAGCCCAATCCCCGGCCCTGAAGAAGACAGTTTCGTCAGTCATGTGGAAAATAATCTCCCTGCATCTATACACAATGGTATCGAGTGCCATTTTATATGCTGACGCCTAAAGCACAGAATGTCACACACGGATAACACTCCAGTAATGCAGTCCACAGAAGTGCAGCCTTGGGTTCTTTGCTCAACAGCACCTCCTTCTCATCAGCCTTTCAAAAATGTTTGTTGTTGGAGACAGATTCTCACTGTGCAATTCAGGCTGGTCCTGAACTCACTATGTATCCTGGGCTGGCCTCGAACTCGCAACGATCCTCCTTCCTCTGCCTCCCAGGTGCTGGGATTACAAGCGTAAGACTTTTTTTTTTTATCTTCTGCGTCACTGGTTCGTATTTGGATTTAGGTAAGTTGATAAAATCTTTGTTATTTATCAGGACGCGTTTGCAGTGCTAGTATTTACTTTCCTTGTGGGGAATCGGTACCTGTACAAAACACAGCTTAATCCATCTTTTCATCCCCTCTCCCTTCCCTCCATCTCTTAACCACCTGCGCCTTTGAGGAAGTTCTACCTCCCTACTTCCAATTATCTGTCTTCGACCCAGTGATTTCTGTTCTAAATGTTTCCCCCAAAGAATTAAAGACAGTATATCACAGTGACACACAAATACCCTGTGCGTAGCAGTACAATTCATAACATCTAAATCTCAAAAGCAGCCTATATGTCCATCAACAGATGAATGGATAAAGAAAACGCTATATTTACTTACAGTGGAGTACTATTCTGCCATAAAAATAAACCCAAGTCATTTGTAGGAAAATAGATGCACTTGGACACCAAAATGTTAAGTGAAACGAATTAGACGCATAACCTTAAATGTCACATGGTTTCTCTTGTAGGACAAATGCAAAATATAAATAAGGAGCTGATCCAATCTTGTAGAGACATGGTATCTGTGAAGCACAGACTGAGCAGATAAATAGCTAATAAAAGCAAAATTGTTAAATTATTCCTACAAGATTTCCAGGTGGTCCACATTTTATTGGTATACACATATCTGAGTCTATCCAGAAAAAAATAAGTCCAGCCATGACAATAATCACACCGTCTTCTTTTTTGTTGTTTTTTGAGATGGGCTCACTGTGTAGTTGAGACTGACCTTGAACTCCCTATGTAGCCCAGGCTAGTCTCAAACTCACAGCGATCCTCCTGCCTCAGCCTCCCGAGTGCTGGGATTACAGGCGTGCGCCACCACACCGTCTTCTGAAAAGATTTCTTAACACAATTTTCAGTATCTAGTCAGATTTTGAAGGAATGCCTTTTTTCCCCTCTTGTTTTGCTTTTGAGACAGGGTCTTGCTACATTGCTCACTGCCCAGTCTGGCCTTGAACTTCTCATCCTCTTACATCAGGCCCCTAGTAGCAGGAAGTACAGCTGTCTGCATCACACCTGGCTTAACAGAACAGTTTGGCCTTGTCCATCTCGTCTAGAGAAATTTACATTCTGAGGTAATTACATGTATAAGCATGATTTTTCCAGAATTGTTTCTTGTACCAAAAATCATCAAAAACTGAACTAGAGAAGCATAATAGCAAATGAGAATGAACTGTGTCCCATTAATATAAACATTTTGGAACAATTTCAGAGAATAAAATGGAAGAGAATCCACAATCTAGCTAGGTGTAGTTACACGTGTTTATCATCCCAGATGCCAGGGAGCATGGAGCCAGAAGAGCATCTGAGTCCAGGAGTGCAAGGCCAGCCTGCAATGACGCCCTAAACAAGCAAACATTAAAGCTATCCATCGCAAATTCTCAGGGCTTTCACAACTCCTACTGTAGTGAAGAATGCAGAGGAAAATTGGTTTTAATGTTATGACTTCAGCCCTTTTGCAGCTAATGCTCTTTTCCTCTCTGTGTGCTCATAAGGCACAATGAATACTTTTACTATGAGTTTTGAATGACACTTGATCAGTGCTAGGCATATTTTACATTCTTTGTGAGTACTGCACTAGCAATGACTAACATTGTTATCTTTTTCTTTTTCTTTTTCTTTTTTTTTTTGAGACAGGGTCTTACTATATAGTTCAGACTCATTTTGGTGCCTAGGCCAGACTTGAACTCACAACTATCGTCCTGCCTCAGCCTCCCGAGTGCTGGAATCACAGGAGTGCACCACCACTCCAGGCTGTTAGAATTCTACAGTGAATATGATTCAGGTAGTTCCTATTCAAGGAACTACATAGAAATGTACATATATTTTGCTAGCTTGATCTGACTTTATACTCTCTAAAATGCTGCCATCCACAGGGGTTGCTATGCAAAGTTAACTGCCAGAGGACCACAGAATCAAGGCAGGGATGCAGAAAGTGGGGATCTGTTGGGACGCGGGGTGGGGGGCATGGAAGCCAGCCCGGCCCATCCATCGTGTGCACCGTGACTAGAAAAGTCCGTGCAGGCCACCATCACTTCTGCCTGGGACCATCGTTCTGGATGTGCAATGCCCTCACTCTGGCCAGGAGCTCCTGTTGTGCTGAGGTCCCAAGCTGAAGATGTTGGGGCTGAAGGAGCTGCTGGGGACAGCACGGCTGAGGTGGCAGATGAACGTGGTCCTCTGCTCTGCTCTCACCACACAGAGGCTCGAAGCCTCTGGTCTTCAATTTTTCCAATTTCTTTCTGGAAGTTCCAGAAGCTGGGATTTATCACTTCTCTGAAAATGGAAAGCGTCGCACAGTTTTAATCTCTGCTGTAGCATTCATGGTGAAAGCTCTGAAAGCCATTACAACGATTTAAGGCGCATGCTGGTTAAAACACCAGGCTAAGTCAATCGCACAAACTCCAGGCAGTAATCTTCAGTCCTCTTTATGCAAATTGTATGTGCTGTACATGCGATCTGAAACCTAGCCACTAAGGTCTGATTCTAGCCTGTCCAGGGGAAGTAGCAAAAGTTAGAGATCCCAAGCTGGAAAAATCAGACAAAAGCCGGACGTGGTGGCGCACACCTGTAATCCCAGCACTCAGGAGGCTGAGGCAAGAGGATCACTGGGAGTTTGAGACCAACCTGGGCTACAGAGTGAGTTCCAGGTCAGTCTCAACTACGTAGTGAGACCCTGTCTCAACCCCCGCCCAAAAAAAAGAAAAATCAGACAAAATTCGGTATTTGCCATCATATGCAGTCCACAAAAGTGCATAAAGGTTAAAGTTATTAAACCATCGATAGCTTAGAGAGCCAGTGCGTGAAGGATATGGAAAGGCAGCTAGAATTCTGATAGAAAGGGACCTTCATGGTCTGACTTACTTCTGGGAGGCTTAGGAGGTTCAGAGAAAGCCGGGGGGCGGGGCACTTCCGATGGGAAGGATTTCTTGGCTCCGCCTCTCTCTTTTGTCTCCACAGGATCTGTTCCTAAAACCGAGGCTCTTTCAACATCTTCTCAGAAGCAAGGCTTGACAATTACATACACAGCATTTCTGAGACTGGTACCTTTTATAAACTCGATGAATAATTTAAAAACTCAGAACTCATATATAAGGCATAAGTGATTTCAGAATCCAGACGTTCATGTGATTGTTACAGATTTCCAAAGTGCTTTTAAGCTTCCTAACGTTTGTGCTTGTGCTGGGACACTAAGGCTGAATCTCCACTTCTTTGTTGCATCAACCTCCCCCCAACGCCTGCCAACCTCTCCCCTCGGTAGATCACACCTCATGCAGCGGCCAGTTTTTCAGCTGGTGAAAACAAATAAAATATTGTATCATTCTCCTTTTTGCTGTTGCATTTAGCCACACAAATTATTTGGTCTTCCTGTAGATTAAAATTCTCCACTGGCAACCTTTTATGTGTATGACATGAATTCAGTCTAACAATTTATCTCAATTTCTTTTTTCACCTTGCTTTCAAATCCAGGAATGTTGCACATTTTTGGGGTAAATTATTAATGTGTATATTACCCTCTTACCTGCTTATCCTGGCTATTTGTCCCTCTATGTGGGTAAATAAGAAAATCCTAGTGTCCTTGCCTCTTAGCCCTCCAGAACTAGAGTGATAACTAGTTTAATGATAAGCAGCTTCCTGATAAAGCAAGTATACTGTCCTTTCTGTGTCTTTTTTTCTCCTACTCATCAAACTCGGTAAACAAATGCCAGTTATTTGATAACTACCAGTTATCAAGTCTTTTATTTTTTTCATCTAGTCATGATTAATTATTTAGAGTTGTTAAAGTACTGAAGTCATACAATATATTTGGGAGGTATTTTTATGATTTCCAGGGAG